GATACTCTCCAACATTTTAAGCAACATTAGACCTCATTCAATGAAGAAAAATGCTAAATTAATTGATGTAAGCCCAATTGAAACCGTCCCAGAAAACCAATTCCCAATTGCAGACATTTCAACAACGGAAAATGCAAACTACCAGAAAAGCATTTCAAGTTTAAGGCCAGTTAATCAGCTATAAGGAACCAAAAACCAATTACAAAACCCATTGGCAGAAGCAAACAAGAAAGCATCTTGCATACATTCCTAACATAAAGTCGTACCAACAAGAAGCACAAGACGCTTGGCAAGGGACTTGAAGCGGGGAGTGACGAGATCCATTCCATGAACAATGGGGGTCTTGAAGTAGATGTCGAAGATGCTGAGCTTCCCCTTCTCTCTCCATTCTCCATTGTCGGCTATCTCTTCCTTCTCTGATGTCAATTCTCTTCTTGCCCCTTGATCTCCCTCGTTGGCTCAAGTCTTTCCTCTCCAGTCTAGCTGTTTTCCCTTCCATAAAATCCACTACCAATCTCTATCCTCAACAGATCTTGGCATCCTCTCACCCTTGCCTCTCTCTTTCTCTCCGTTGCTAAGCCTTTCATTCATGCCTTCTTCCTCATCTAATTGAACCATGGAATGTCTAATGTTCTAGATCTAGGTTTGCAAGAACCCGATCAGGGTTCTAGGAGTGGAGAAGAGAAGGAAGGAGAGGGGGAGGAGAGAGAAAGAAAATCAAAGAACCAGGGCTAGGTGAAGAGGAGAGCCACTGGGTTAACCAAAGAAACGGAGACAAATGGAGATGGAGTGTGTGTGACGGAGTGTGTGACAACGGAGTGTGTATTCATCATTTTCCTTTTAAAATACAAGGTAGAGTGAAGAATAAGTGAGGAAACATCGGTTTTTATAGACAAAATGGGACGCTGCTCGGGTGAGGAAGATTGAAATGTGATTGCTGAGCACCAGAAACGTATCTTAATGGAGCTGAAATGAAAAATCACAATGTTGGGACACCATTGGTGGGGCGACAATCCACCCAAGAAGTAATAATTATAGAGATTGACAATTAAGAAAAGTTTCATGGATCATTTAGTTTTGAATTAAATAATTCTGATTTATGTTCTTATTTTAGGGTTCAAATCCTCGTACGGATGGAAAAAGGGATAAAAAAAAGACAGTAATTAATACACTTTATATTTCAATATCTTTCGGTTTAATTATTAAAAAATTATTATTTTTTAATTTAAAATTAAAAATAAACAAGAATAATGATATAAACATGCACACAGGATACAAAAATTGGCTAAATTGACTGAATTTATATTATATTTTTAATAACTAAACCAGAAGATATTGAACCGAGTGTTGAACTGAAAAGTGTACCGAATATTTTCCTAAAAAAAAAATCTACAGATGTTGACTTTTACAACCTGAATTTTCCTTAATGGAGTTTTTGATTAGTTAATTGCATAATTCCGAATCTTTCTAGCTATTTCTAATGTTAATATACTTGTGATTGTGATCTATATTATCAGTAATACTTTTTGAATTATATCAACTTCTATATTAATTTAGGAAAATAGTGATTTTTGTGGACAATGTTTATAGATAAAAAAAAATGATGGTATATATTTTGATTTGACACAATTTTTAACACTAGTTAATTGATTAATTATTAAAATATAATATGAGTATTGTCAATTCAATTAATTTTTAAATATTATATGCATAGTTATATCTTTATAAATTTATTTGTTTTTAATTTCAAATAAAAAAAATAATTATTATTTAATGAATTCATTTTATAATGTGTTAAACCAAATGATGTATTAATTAATTCATGTCCTTAAATTTATGCTGCATTTCATATAGTTTTTTTTTTTTTTTTGAACAGCAAAGGATATATATATATTAATAATCGGAGTGCAAGGGGTACTCAAACCCTTAACAAAAACTAATTGAGAAGTCTACATTTACATGAGTGGAAGAGCAAGGTGTCGACACCCTCTCAAAGTGTCGACATAATGCTCGTGACGAGAATTAATCCACCTGAGCAATTACACAAAACAACGCAAAACCCAGCCACTAAATGTTAATTCCATCTTTCAGACTATTCCTCCCTAGCTTTTACCACCACATTTCTCGGTGAGGCATGCAATGGGATTGCTTATCCAATCCGAAAGAGTAAAGTAACACCAGGTTTTTTTTGCTTTAAACCATAAGAACGATCGAATTTGAACCAGATCGAATAGCTTACCCAGATCCATCTCTAGGTTTTGGAAGATCTTTTGATTCCGCATCAGCCATATGGACCATACAATTGCACTCCAGGTACATTCCCATCCTTTTCTGATCCTCGTGTTTTTGGTCCACGCCCCAGGATGTTCAAATGTCTTCCAGCAGTCCTCTTGTATCTCTAAATTAATCCCCCACCAC